TATATATATATATATATATTTATATGTTTCATTGAATATGACCGCATATTCTGTATTTATTATTTTCTGGTTTAGGGCTTCTATCCCTCTAACTATTTTCATAGCATCAGGGCTTAATTGAAATAGGAGTTCTCCAAAACTCATTTTCGTACTTTTAAGGTGAAGAAAAGAAGTGATTTACTATAGAGTGTATTACACTTATTTGTATAATTTGCACGACGTTTCGAACCTCCATGGTTCATTCTCAAGTGAACAGATCTTACAATACTAGTTGATTTTATACCCGCATTAGGTCAGGTGATAATACAATGAAGGTGAAAACATGGGGGGATACATAAGGGATAAACATAGGGGCTGCAGAAGGCTTATTGGCCCATACGAGGCATCTCCTATCTAAACACAAAGATTAATCCAGTGTAATTGGCCTGTTATGTTGGACATTGTCTTCTGTGTTGGCATCGATATGTTCTTGTCTTGTCCTTACTCTCATGGTGGGTAGAGTAAATAGTTCCGTGATTTGGGTGTTCATGGTAGGTCGCTCTATTCTTATGTGAATTGCCTCAAGAATTTGTAATCTTCTTGAATCTTGGGTTTTGTCTATAATGCAAGTATTCTTGTTCAACATTTCTCTTGTTAGAGTAATGTCATGGGCTTGTCTCATGTGATTCCCAGGGGCACCAGATTGAAGATGGCATGTCAAACGCCTCGTCAGCTTGGTCGACGTCATACCTATGTACTTACATTGAAGGTTACATCCTTCGTGGGGGCAAGTGTACATGTATACAACGCTTGACTGCTGTAGAGGGTTCTCCGTCGGCTTCGGGCTGTTTTTGATAAGGAGTTCGGAAGTCTTCTTGGTTTTGTAGAATATTATCAGGTTTATGTTTTGGTTAGGAATAGTGCTTTTTACTCCTTTACGGATTATTTCTTTCATTATTCTTTCCTCTTTTATATGTTCGCTGTGCATGGTTGATTTGTAATATAATTTTATTGGGGGTGTTGCGGTTTCTGTTCTAGGTTCTGAATTATACCAACGGTCCAAGTGTCTTCTTATAGCAGCGTTTATTTCCGCGTTGCTATATCCGTTGTTCACCAATACCTGAGTTACTCTTTCAAACTCTCTACTCACGTTGCTCCATTCAGAGCAGTGGGTAAGCGCTCGACGAATATAAGCATTGAGAACACTGGCTTTGTATCTTTGGGGGCACTCACTTCTACCGTTCAGGCATAATCCTATGTTGGTGGGCTTGGTATATACGTTGGTGCTTAAAGAGGTTCCTGTTTTTGTTATTAGTACATCCAAGAATGGCAGACTGTTATTTTCACTATTTTCATGTGTAAATCGGAGTACTGACTCTCTCTCTAGGTGTCTTTTTAGGTCAATTAGTTCATCTGAGTCTTTTACTATTACGAATATGTCATCTACATAACGGCAGTATACAGTTGGTTTTTGTCTGCTACTGAAGACCCTATCTTCGATGGTTCCCATATAAAAAAAATTAGCAAATAAAACTCCTAAGGGGGAGCCCATTGCTACCCCGTCTATTTGTAAATACATGTCTCCTTGTGGACTGATGAAAGGGGCTTCCTTTGTACATGCTTCGAGAAGACTTTTCAAGTGTGGCTCAGGTATGTCTAATTTGGGGGTGCTCTCGTCTCTGTATACTCTGTCCAGTATCATTCCTATGGTTGTGTCGACTGGGACGTTGGTAAAAAGGGATTCAACGTCCAGGGAAGCGATGATTCCATCGGGCTGGGTAGATTTGATCAATTCTAGGAAATCTGCTGATGATTGTAGACTAAACTTACTTGGAGTGTATGGAGTTAGGAGTTCATTGAGTTTCTTTGCCAGGTGATAAGTTGGGGTTGGTATTTGGCTGATTATAGGGCGTAGTGGGTTACCTGGTTTATGCGTCTTAACATTGCCGTAGGCATATCCTAAGCCATAGTCGGCTTGAAGTTTATTGAAATGCACACTACCTTTCTTTGCGTTGATTGCTGTAATTGTTTTGTTTACTTTCCGCTTAAGGTCTTCTACGGGGTTCCTCGTGATTCGTTGAAATTTGGAGTCGTCACTTAGGATGTCGCTAATTTTGTTCATGTATTCATGGGTAGGAATCAATACATATGCTGCTGTTTTGTCGGCTTTTCTTATTGTTACGTCTTTCAGATTTTTTAGTTGTTTCGCTGCTTCTTTGAGTCATGGGGTTAAGATTGTAGATGAATATGTTCCTCGTTTTTTCCCTGCTTCTGCAAGTAGTTCAGCTTGAAGTGTGTCAGTGGTGATGACTTTTTTGTTGTCTTCTAGCTTATGGATATCGTCCAGAAGCATTTCGATTTCCAGGCGTTTTTGATGCATCTTTGGTTTAGATAAGAATTGACAATTTAGACCAAGATTTAAGAGGTCTCGTTGGTCCTGGGTAAGACCAATGAAACATGTTTGAAAGAAAACCTGCTGCCAGTATACACCAATATATATATATATATATATATATATATATATATATATATATATATATATATATATATATATATATATATATATTGTGACAATAATCTCTTTCAAGAGAGATTGAGCCTGCTCTTCCCTACATAATTACGTCAAAATACAAGATACTATATACAAGATACGTTCACCAAGTATCGCCAAACGTTTTGCCCAGAGAGCAAATCGTATCCAGCACACCTGGCCACCGCCGTAACCAGCTAACTGCTCATCCTCTGCCTGCCTGTTGCTGATTGGCTGGTGTCTCGTCGCGCCTGCCCTCCGCCACCACCACAAGTCGACGTCTGGGCTGCAGTGCGCCAGTCTCGTCAGAATATCTCAGTGCTCCATGCAGTTGACATCTCTCGCTGGTAGACTAAGCCTTGGCTTTCGTGTACTAAGGGATGTGGCAGCTCGAAGCCAGTATTCCAGCACTCATATTTTATTTTGCTATCACTGTAACTTACTTGTCTTAGCGTAAATTTTCATTTGCCAGTGATTATTCATGTTATTTTGTTTGTTGACTTGTCCTGCATATTTTTATGAGATTACCTTTATTCATGTCTTGTTTTTCTAGAGTAATTAAAATTTCATTGTTTATATACTTGTGTTTTGTGTGTCTTCCTATTACCTTACCACAGACGAAAGGACCAACTTTTTTCTTTTTTTTTTATTATGTGACGAGGCCCTGCCCCTAGCTTTTGAAACAGCCGAACACCAACGCTTTACCGTCACAATATATATATATATATATATATATATATATATATATATATATATATATATATATATATATATATATATATATATATATATATATATATATATATATATATATATATATATATATATATATATATATATGTATAAATATAACTATATATATATAGCTTTCAGTTGCATATAGTCCTGGGGACCATTCAGGCTTGTTGGTGTGTGTATATGGTTTGGTTTGGTTAACCATCGCCAGAGAAATCCTAGTAAACAACACAGAAATCATCGATAGATACAGCGATAGCAGGCGGCTTGACGTTTGCGAGGCACTACACATCAAGAAGTCAACACCAGCAATCAACAGCCAATTATTGCACAACTATATTCTACCCACCTCAAGACTCCGCTCCAATATAGAAGCATCAAGAAATATGGACCAATAGGCTTTCTACAAACACTTCTATTCAATACCCATTGTTTCTGTTCTGTCTTGTGTTGATACTTTTAATACCCTATTAATATCCCCTCTTGTTCTGTCTTGTGTTAATGCCACATCACCCCTCCCACCTCACTCAAATGTAGATATAAAATCAGAGATACGTAAGTTCTAATCAGTTGTGTATTTGTGAAGTCTTTGAAAATGTAATAAGTTTTACGAAACGCGCCCGTGTCGCGTCAGACTAGAAATAAAAATGAATTTTGGAGAAGTGATTTTTGATTTACCTCCAACAGTGAAGCGTAATGTACGAAAGATTGAGAAAATTCGTGTTAGAATTATTAATCTTACTTTTTCGGTCATATTTAATAATATATGTCTACAGGAAAGACTGCTACCAAAATATACTAATATATATATATATATATATATATATATATATATATATATATATATATATATATATATATATATATATGTCGTACCTAATAGCCAGAACGCACTTCTCAGCCTACTATGCATAGCCCGATTTGCCTAATAAGCCAAGTTTTCCTGAATTAATATATTTTCTCTAATTTTTTTCTTATGAAATGATAAAGCTACCCATTTCATTATGTATGAGGTCAATTTTTTTTTATTGGAGTTAAAATTAACGTAGATATATGACCGAACCTAACCAACCCTACCTAACCTAACCTAACCTATCTTTATAGTTTAGGTTAGGTTAGGTAGCCGAAAACGTTAGGTTAGGTTAGGTTAGGTAGGTTAGGTAGTCGAAAAACAATTAATTCATGAAAACTTGGCTTATTAGGCAAATCGGGCCTTGCATAGTAGGCTGAGAAGTGCGTTCTGGCTACTAGGTACGACATATATATATATATATATATATATATATATATATATATATATATATATATATATATATATATGGAAAACTAGCCTATGACTTCAATAACATAAATATCAGCATAAATATTCCTTGATAAACAACAATAATCAATCAATCACCCTATCAGTCCTAGAACACATATGTATGTCTCTGCAGGTAATCCAGCCTGTGGTTGTAAGTCTATACTTCAGTAAGTACTCCTTGGCACAAAAATGGTAATCAATCACACCTTTCACTGCGTCTTGCACGCTAATGACAACCAAACACTACCAACTCCCTACAAGTAGTCAATAAGAACTTCCTTTCCACATCTGGAAGTTCACTACCCTGACATCTTCAGGTTTTCCTAGAACTGTCTACCAGGGTCCTCCACAGCTCTCCCAGCTGCTACACCATGAAATCTTCCTTGAGCAACAATGGTGCTTCACCACTGGTATCACAGAAGCATGTGAAACTTCATTCCACTACTCCTCTTCTCACAGCTTGCGGTCCTGCTCCTCACTATGTGGCTGCTCTTCCATAGAGCTCAGTACCTTCCACAACCTTGGAGTCTCATCATCTACTTCATCTCTGCTGGCCTCGAAGTTCTCAGTAACTCCTTCCCCAGACAAACCTGCAACCCATCCATATGCCAATAAAAAAAGCTCCTCTACAAACACATAACTGAAATGAATCACACACAATAATTGTTTCACGTGTCATATCTCTGCTTTCTATATGCTGTGAGGTGACTGTCTCACGTTTGGGCTGGTCCATTTTCTGCCTTGCCGGCAGGCGGCTCCTGACTCTGGAAGCTGTCCTCCGCCGCCAGCCGGTCAGTTGGCTCCAGGCGGTCGACGGCAGAGGATATGCTGCTCGTCTCTCTCATCTCTGTCCTCATATTTAGGCTTTCTGCTTTATTAAAACATGCCTAGCATATCAACAAACACTTTTTACGATCGCTGGGCCCATGATCAACTATAGGCAATCGCTATTACCTGGTTAAAATTGTGCTTATCACAAAAGGTCTCTTGCAGGGCGCTCTCTGACGGGGCGGCGACACTCAGGGCGCCTCAGGCTACCCACACAACTGCTTTAACTGCCCCCTCAACACCTCCTGCAGTTAACGACTTGAGCTGGCACGTCCACAAACGTATTCCACAGTCGAAACGTCTGTCCACTCCCTTCCTTTTGAAGGTATATCAAACAGGGGTTCCTCTTCACCAGGGGCTCAAACGGAGCACGCCATCCCCTCACGAGTTCTTCAGCTCAAGTGCTCAAGCTCCTCTGAAAACGAGCCTCACGCCTCCAGCAAACTCTCCACATCTCATGACCAGTCATTTATCTATATTCTGATTCACTGCCCATACTCTTAAACTATTTATCAAAACTAACCGAATGTTTACTATATACATTCACCTGTCTCTGTGTCATGGACCTCTTATTTAGGTCAGGTCTTGCAGAATAACTCTCAAGGTAAACTCGTTTCTCAGCTACTTGGGATCATAACAATAGTCATCCAGCCATCAAACCTTCACCCCTAGTCGCGGGAGCAGGTACGTCTTGACCCGACCCCGTTTGAGATATGACTCATTATAATGGTGATAATATTATTTGAATTATAACTAAAATCTAATTATTCCGTGAAATTTTGGACATGCAGAGAGTTAGTATTTTAAATCAACATATTTAGTTCCTATCCCGGATCAATATCACTCTAAACATACAGCTCATGTAACATTGATCTGATTGCAAAAGGATTTAGAATGCTTGCAAATGAGCCATCCCATTATGATAGTAATTCCTATATCCTCCCAAGACTCAGTTGAGGGTATCCAGGCTCTCTCTGCTGACTCGTGGTCTTATTCTGTCCTGTAGACTTGTCACATTATTATATATTACACTCATTCATAGGTTGTGTTAGCTAGCAATCTAGTTGATTTTTCTGGGAACTTTTAGTGACCAGTAATAGGTAAATGCCTGAATAAGAGAGCTTATTGTGATTGCTGGCTGGGTGACTTCAACACCAATGAACTACATGGCGTCGCATATAACAAGTTTTATATGCAAGTTAAAGATCAGGGTGACTGGTTTATTTATTTTTGGGGGTTTATCATAAAAATACAAAATACAGTTCTACGTCTATAGGAGAGAATAACTCTCTATCTGTCCAAGATAGGAGGCAGACACGTAGACTTGCCTCACCGAACTTTGCAGAGGGAATGGTCTGAGGTACAGGACGGACAAATGCTGGTTCAAGAGGGAACATCGTACTTGGGTCACATTCTGACACACAACAATTTGTGGCACTTGTTGTTGGTTAGACCAAACTAAATATTTTGAAAACTAAAGTCTAAAAATAAATCTTGTAGCATTATTCATTGATGTTTGATTACTGGATGAGGCTTATTTCACCTCCACCATTTTCTCGGTTTTAGTTGCCGTTTAGAGCATTTTGCAGTGTGGGTGTCTCCACATCAGACGCATTTTGTATTTTTCTTCGTGCAGTCCTGGAAATGGTATTCCCCGGAGCAAATATTGCACTTTCCCACATGTTTTGGTGCATTTTCTTGTAGCAAACGCCTCTCTTTGGTTATTTGGCTCGGTATAGATGTTATGCCTAAGCTCTTGAACCCAGACTCCACTGCTTGTGCTGGTGACCGGAATGTTAGTGTGAGTGTAGAGCGTTGGCGCAGAAATACTTTAATGAAATCTTTGCCAGGAAATTTTAGATTAAGAACTGAATAAAACGAATTTAGTGAGTAAAGAACAACTCGAGCACATTTGGCCGGATTTAATGTAAGGTTGTATTCAGCACTTCATTTTACAAATATTTGTAAGAAAAGTTGATGGAATCTTTGGCTAGTACCAATATGATTACATCATCACCATAACAAAAAACATTATCATAAATACTGCCTATGCAACAGCCAGGACTTTATTCTCTCCACTCTTTCAACATTGGATCACGATGGACAGCAAAAAAATCAACGAGATAAATTTTCTGAGATTAATCCATTTCATTGCTACTTTTCATACCTGATCTTTGAAATACATATATCTAATGATAGTTTGACATACTTTTATGCTCATTAATTCTCTAAACAGTTTGAAGTGTTCAATATTGTCAAGTGCCAAGTGCTTGAGGAAGCCTCAAGAAACTGAGAGAATAGAACTTTCCTTTGAAATTTAATACTAATTGTTTCCAGCAGAGTAAAACTACAAAGTGTTGTTAACTAACCAGTCTTTTAGGCAAATTTAGAGTCAGGGTGTCTAGTTCGTCAGGTAGAAAGTCAACCAGCATAATCAAATGCACTATTTATTAGTATGTTTAGTGCAATGGCTCCATAGTCATCATAGGACTTGCAACCTCGTAATTATTTGGAATGGGGACAAGTACAGAGGTGTTTATTACAGACGGCGATGGATCATGACAGATACAGAGTGTAAGACAGATATATAGGCTCACAGTTTCGCTGATTCGTGTTCATTGTTGTCAGTGTGGGTGTGAAGAACAAGTCCTCTTGAATAGTAAGTCCCAGCTTGACGTATACGTTCACAGACAAAAACTAATGTACTAAAATAGTCATAACTTCTCGAAAACTGATGTTTTTCTGTTTTCTATTATTTGGTCATTAGTTCATGAGTTTACTGACGTTGGGGACGCTCAAGAGGACTGGCTGAATAAACAGGGTTACCATAACTACCATTTTTTGTTTTCTGTACAACATGTCCCCAAAGACCTGTGTCACACTCCGCTTTTCTACCACACACATCTTCCCTGTGGATGGACGAACAATTTTAATTATATTTTCATCCAAAATACTCCAAAAAATTCAACTGTTGGCAGGAGATCAGCAACCAAACCAGTTCTGCGGCATTTTAATCCTCTCGTAAATAAAATGCTATTGGCACAAAATGGTATCAGATAAAAGTAACTAAAGCGACAGTGTAGTTGCAGCGTGCAACATTTTAAGTAATTTACAAGTGAAAAGTAATGCAGAAATTAATACTATAATAATAATAATAACAGCTATAATAACTTTTGGTATGAACTCAAAAAAAATTTAAATATTTTTCTTTAAAATCGTTTTACTTTTATTTTATTTACTCTTTTGTTCTTATTATATGTTCCAAAATTTACAAAAACGTCAGCAGTCATTGTGACTAGGACTGTGAAGTCTTTTGGTGCACCTGTACTTCTTTTAGTGATTTAAATATTAAATATTCGTCTCCATATTATGACTCCGTATAAGGAGATTTAATAAAAATTTAATGCTTTATACATCTTAAGGTATATGACACTGGAGAGAGTGCGCCTGTTATTCCCTAGACAGTAATAAATAGAAGGCGCTGATATGGTGGCAACCTCGACTTCTATGGCGTTGTGTCCTCAATTTTTTTTTGTTTTTTGTTTTTCGCGTTCTGCAATTTTCTTCACAGTAAAATATTATTTTATTTGTACGTTGTTTTACAAGATTATTCTATCCAATCCTATCTTAGTGGTAGACACCAATGTGTAGCCATCAATAATATAACCTCTCCCACTCTACCAATAACCGTTGGAGTGCCACAGGGCAGCATCTTGGGACCTCTCCTATTTCTTATATACATCAATGATCTGGCTAATGTCTCTAACATTCTAGAACCTATTTTGTTTGCTGATAATACTACCCTCATCTACTCCAACCCCAACCCACATACACTAAATGATGTTGTTAATAATGAACTAAAAAAGTCCACTTATGGATGTCAATCAATAAACTAACACTTAACATAGAAAAGACCTACTACATCTTATTTGGAAGCAAATCTACAAACCCAATTTAGCTCCAGAAAGACAATTTAAACATTAGCAATAAAAATGATGGAAAGTTTCTTGGCCTATTCCTAGACAAGAGACTCAACTTCAGCACCCACATACAACACATTACTAAGAAAGTCTCTAAAACAGTTGGTATACTCTCCAAAATCAGATATTATGTACCTAACTCTGCTCTCATCTCTCTATATTATGCACTAACCTATCCCTATCTTAATTATGGTATCTGTGCTTGGGGTTCAACCACTGCAAACCACATCAAGTCCATCATCACCCAGCAAAAATCTGCTATCAGAATAATAACAAATTCTGCTTTCAGACAACACTCAGCCCCCTTGTTTAACTCCCTAAACATGATATACATAATCTCACTCCACAAATTTTCTTGTGTCAATTACATTTACAATACCCTGTTCTTAAATGCAAATCCTGCTCTGAAACTCTCCCTGGACAGATGTAATAGGACCCATTATCACCACACCAGAAATAAATATCTCTTTGATATCCCCAGAGTCAAACTTAATCTGTGTAAACACTCTATGCAAATAAAGAGACCCAGTCTATGGAACTCACTCCCTAATGAATTGAAAAGCTGTCCAACTTTTGCGTCATTCAAAAATAAAACTAAAATGTACCTAATTTCATCTTCATAGTGTCCTACCTTGTGCTTTAAAATTGCACTGTATCTATTGCTACCCAATCTCTCAATCTTTATGTACCCAATCCGAACATCTTTACCATTGTGATCATTGCTGTCTTCTTATATGTGCTATCACTCTGCTGTATGGTGTCTGTTAATCTTGTTTAAACTA